CCATTTTTGTTGTGCTTGCAGTTTTAAATTATTTTAAAAATATCCAAGGCATAACGTGGTCAATGAATTTTGCACAGATAACACTTAGGGCCTGATCGTATACTGTTCTACATGTTGGAAAGCCATTTATACATAAGTAAAGAAGATGAAGACTGCTACCAGGTAGTTTACCCCTTGCAAAACCATAAAGGCTTGCACCAGGGCAGATCAGGTGAGAATCAGGTAGCTGGAGTCTAGATTACAATTTCCACCAAAAATAATTCCCATTTTCTTATAAGTTTAAGGGGAGATCTATTTTGTGGCATGATGTACTTGAATAGTAATTTTGATGTAAAATAATGCAAGACTAACTACAGAGACAGCTTCTCATGCTGTTATTTAAACCCGCTATTTGCATTTATATTGCTTCATATAATGGAAAGTGTTTACATGGTATTTAAAAATTTGGGATTGATGAACTCCTAAACATACCTATGGGGTTTGAGCAAAATGCTTCCTCTTTTTCTTTTTGTGTAGTTGAGTTAAAGGCTTATGAAGAAAAAGAGATTTCATTATGAAGTACTCCTTAAAATTTATGGAATATTAAACAGAAACTAAATGAACCTGAAATAATTCAGACACTACCTAATAGTAAATCAAACCTCATGGTAGTTTCCCGACCCTAGTAAAATTTTTTTCAAACTGGCATTAAAGCTGAAGTTTTCCAAGAATCTTGATTGGAGAAAGGTATTCAATAGCAGCTCTTGTATTTCATTTCTTTAAAAATATAATACCTAACATCTAAAATGAGCTGGTATCTTGTTTAGAATTAAGAAGTAGATTCAGGACTTTCCATGTGTAAAAGGGTGTTGAAGTTTCATACCTACAACATACATTTCAAGTTGAGCCCATTGGTGATGTGGTGCTCCTCCAAGAGCAAGGACCAGAGGTTCTTTGTGAAGCCTTATCTTAATTCTCCTCTTTCTGGCTTCAGTTAGGTAAGTTATGGTCATTTTTGTGTAATGACATTAGGCTGCTAGAATCTTTGGATTTTTTATTTGTACTGTAATATGTCTAGTTCAGAAATGGTGAACCTTCAAATGTGAATCTGGTTTTCCATGTATAAAAGGTCTCACAGCATTTCATGCTTCTCAGCCTCCAAATGGAGTTATGTGAGATTCAATCATTTCACCCCAGTGTAGGAGCTGTAGTTATTCAGAGGTGGGAGGGATGGGGTTTGATTAAAATTGATTCTGAAATAAGAGCATCAGTTTTGCATGTTTGGATCCATGCTGATTCAGCAGGGAATTAATTAATGATTTGGTACTCAGGTGTTTCCATGTGCTTTGATGAGCTCACTGGGAAACACTCCATGGAAACAGTCAGCCCTGGTTTGTGTTGAGGAGGAGATGGGGGCACCAGCAGTGGAGAACGCAGTGGGGAAACGGGAATGAATGGTTTCAGGTGGAGCCACAGTGGGCAGGAGACTATTAGAAGCATGAAGGCACAGGGCTGGCAGAGAAGGCAAAAAAGAGAATTATGTAGGTTAAAGAAGGATGGTAAGGAGTGAGGGGAAATTGGCCAAATCCACAGTGCAATCTCTCCAATTGCTAAGAAGGTTCAACAGCAAAGCCTGGCGTTAACATTTGGGGGGGGGGGGGGGGGGTTTTCCAGTGCACAGAAAGTGACATTTTTGAGTCAGGTGATAAAATTATATTCTAAGGTTCATAAGGAGTAAAACTAAAGTTTTATTAAAGACATTGGCCTTGTTCATCATGTGTAGCCATGACTGTAATCCATTCAGCTGCTTTTCTTAATCTGTATCTCTACCCGGGATAACATTTTCCCTGGAGCCACTGAGCAACACTCATGGAGGAATTTGCCTTACCTGTATATTCAGGCAAACATGAGTTGACTTGCACAGGATACCCTGCCATTATTGGTTTTCTTCTTTATTCATTGAAAGCTTGTGTACATTTGTCAAAGTCATTTAAATTGTTGCTTAAATCATTCAGAAGTCATGCTTATGTGCAAACACTTTTTAACATGTTGCGTGCATTAAATATTCATATTTCACAACATCACCTTAAGATTGTCACAAAGCATTAGCATATGTTGTTCTAATGTTGTTGAGGGCTTAGGTGGTTTATCCAAAACCTCTGAAGGAATCAATACAATTTGCAGGAAAAGCAGGAATAGATCTCAAGATTATCTGTGGACCAGAAGCCTGATTTCAGTTTCTGTAGACCCCTTCTTCTCTCCATCTCCTCCTTCCTTGTATTTGATATGCAAGTCTGTTGCTCTATTAACAAAGAGATGCATTTCAAAATGTTTCCAAATATGTTTCATCTGACATTTTGAGAAAATATATCCTGTCATGCAACTTCATAGGACACAATGGTATCTTCAGACAAAGCATTTACACAAACTTTGCAACTTTCTTGACCACCTTTCTAGTTTGATTTATAGATGCAGTGATGAGCGGCAAAAAGTGGCAACATCATTGGCAGATCAGAGGCAGAAGCCACATTAGAGTGGCACATAAGGTTGGCAGATAAGGTGAAGAAGGCAATGCAGTGCAATGAAATAAGTGGAATAAAATTAATTCCTTGGGCAGGAGAAGCCTGAATACATAGGTGTACCCTCCAGAATACAAGCTTTCAGCCGACACCTCACTTACTTACAAAAATCCAGGCTCGTATAGAAGGACAAAGTACCCATGGATGGGCTAATGTCTGTATCTATGCAGGTGACAGACAGAATCAGGAGAGATCAGGAAGCCCTGAGGGAAAGAGCCGCTGACATCTGTGGTGGTGGAAGGAAAGGGAGTAGAGACCTGCAAGGGAAAGGCAATGCTGTCAGAGTGGAGCCCAGCAAAATGGTCTCTGCTGGGGCATTTTTAGTAAGGTGAAGGACATTTCTCAAAGCCTGGGAGGAGATGGGAAAGGAGATGACATGTGACACCGTGGGGGCCTGGATGAGAGATTTAGTTTTAAGCTTCCTAAGGAGAATGCAGATTGCGGAGATATTTTGCACAATGGTGTTACAAATCCTGATCATAATTTGTACTCTCTGTGAAAAAAAAAACAGAGAAAACTGAATCAGTTCTTTTCAGAGACCACCGTAAGTAGTGATGATATCCATGGCTGTATTTTACAGCTGTGTGTATTCACTGGTTACAGATACTGCTCAACAGTGTGAACGCGTTTCTACAAACCTCAAGCTCATACTTTTGTACCCAATGGGTTTTTGCCATGGGGAAAATAAATTCTTCTTAATCACCACTGAGGATTCTCCACCCCATTATTTTGGTTAACATTGTTTATTTTTATTTATGGGCACTCATCAGCGTAATGTGCTGTTGCCTACAACAGCAGGATTTGCTGGATACCTTAGGATATTTTTTTCTACTTCCCTGCATGTCATTCATAGCATTTTGTATTCTTTTTCCATTTGCAAGCAGCTTGGCAAAGCATTACTGATATACTATTATAATTGTTTTCACTGAGAAAAGATAAGCTGTAGCATCAATAATTGATGAAAGAAGTATCCATTTTACAGAATTTTAACAAGATTGAAAAAAGCTAAATGCATACGGACAGATACATAGCTACGCATACTTTTAATGCATCACACAAAGCTTGCAAAGGACGTGGTATAGATGACTGTACAAACTTCAAAAGGCCATGGCAATGTGTGTTTTCTCAACCACTTTTAAACATATGCTTCTAGGATGAGATGTTCAACTGCTGCACAGTTAAGACAGCTAGATCATATGGCAGGTTAGAGAAATGTATTAATTGCAAGATGAATTGTGGATGAATAAATTGTATACATAAAACTGGAAATTATCCTGTATGCCATGATTCACTATCTATTTCTGACATGGCGAGCTGAGTTCACTTCAACAGTCACAGATGTGTTAACTGGCTGAAAATACCCAGCACAGAGCATTTATTTTACCTTCAGCCATCATTTTCCTTTCCCAAAAATTGACAGGAAAGTTGGAGCTGATCCCTGCATCAGCTGTGTTCTCTGCCCATCCTCCAGCATGCAAGAACATGGGACACAAGGGGATGTGGTGCCCCACCACAGAAGCTACCAAATACTGACTAAGACAGCATTGTTTGGGAGCTTCTCGTCAGTGCCACTCATGGGAACTGGAAGTTTTTCTGGATTGAAGGAGCCGAACCCAACTCTGTGCTGCTCCTCCTCTGTCACTGCTCAGGGGGACTGGAGAGGCTGGCCCAGACTAAGTGACCCTTCCTCTTAATTACTGAAAATGGCGTTGCATTGCTCACCTGTGCTCAACACTGTGCTCACTGCCTCTTGGCTATGGAGGTGGAAGAGTGCCACTTATTTCCTCAGTTCAGCGGCCTTCTTCCATGTCTAAGTTCATTGGTCTTGAGATGACTTACCCAGGTGGAAAAGCTCTGCAGTTAAGCATTGCCATGACTGGAAAACTGTGCAAATGACTTTGGAAGAAGAAGTTTAAGAGAAAAGTTTTAAATAAGCTCTGTGATTGCAAAGTGCAAATTGTTCAGCGGGTCAGAAATATTCTTGTAATTTTAGCAACTTTCAAAGGCGCTTTTTTTATCTGGCTTTAAATTCCAGATAGAAAAAGGTTAGTCCAGTTTAATTGAAGTTCCTACTATAGTAGAGAGAGAATCCATCTCTTACCCACTCTCCCCATTGCCAGCAATGCAGAGATTTCACTGAACTACAGCACGTTTTAAAATGCAGCTGGTTTAGAGGGAGGGGAAAATGATTGGTTTTGCCAAATATGCTTTTGTACTGGGTTTTGGTAGTATGATGACAACCCTGTTTGTAAAAGTATTTAAGTACTTGCCTAATTTTAAGCAGATGAGTATTGCCATTTTTTTCTAAGATTATCACATGCTTAAAATGAATACATGCTTTCTTAAAATATGTATGGGTTTGGAAATTTAAATTACACCCACATTCTGCTGATAGATGTCAAGTCTTTTGAAACAATTTCTATTTCTATATTTGCCCCCTAGGTGGACACCCATGGAAACATTCTGCTAACATCGCTTGAAATTCACAATGAGGTGGCAAGCAATGAGGTTACCACCAGCGTTACGGATGCCCGAAATTCAACGATATCCTTTGACAACTCAGGAATCCAGTACAGAAAACAAAGCTCACATCGCGAAAGCCTTGGAAGGCGTTCGTCAGAAAGAACAGGCTCCCACAGCAAGAGAGGCCATTTACGAAGAAGGTCTTCGCAACTGAAAATAAAAATCCCTGATCTAACAGATGTGAATGCCATCGACAGATGGTCAAGAATGGTGTTTCCATTCACATTTTCTCTTTTCAACTTAATTTACTGGCTATACTATGTTAACTGAGTGACTGAACTTTTTTAAAGGACTTCAATTATAACAAGTGAAGTACTACTTGCCTGCAGAGTTTATATATATATTTATATATAAAAATATATATATATGAACTTTTACTACGTAGACCATACTCATGTATGTGTGAATACATGTAGCAAAGAATTGTGTGTACTTAAAAGCACATACTGCAAAGCAAAAGTATATGTATGCACACACACATGTACACATTCGTTCTGAGGTTATGGACACTTTAACATAGAAGGCACTTCAGAGGAACTTTTTAAATCAAAAGGCAGGTGTCATCAAAACAACGAGCCTTGAGAAAGTAAGTGTTGTGTATTATCACTACAAAACTTTGATTGTCATAGAAATTTTCAAACAGCTGTAATCGTGTATAAAGTCAGTATTTAGTAACATTGTTTGTAAATGCTGCCATACACACTAATCATAAAGCAGTAGAGTTACACTGGTAAGTTTAAAATAAGTCATTTATATTGCAGATCCATCAACTATGATTTCATCAAGCCAAATTTATTTTTCTTTGCTAAAATTTCTTGGGTTTATATATTTCATTATACAATTTTTCCCAGTCCTTAATGGGCATAATTTTTAATGATCTCTTGCTTTCTCTTCTGCAGTAAGCAAGCTGATCATGGGAGTGTTGCTCTAGGTCTTTGGAGACATATACATGTTCATAATATTTCAAACAAGCATTTTAAGTGTCCATCAACAGTGAAATGAAACTTTTGTAAGTACTGTAAATGCACAGCACGATTTCCTTCCCTTGGACTGGCTCCCGCTGCCATGTCATTTTGAAAGAGAACAGCACATTTTTAGTATAATTTAGCTGAAAATTCAACTACTGTCAATGTGTTCTACATCTGCTGTAGATGTAAAGATTGTTATTCCAGTGAAAGCATAGAAGATGTCTCAGGTTATTTGCTACTTTGACATGAAACCACCTAGCTGTAGCCTTTTTTAAACATGCATTCACATTATTTAACATTCCTATAACATTGTATGTTAATGTAAAATATATTTGCATAATATGCATATAAGTATATTTTCTCAATATTTTTCTTCCCTGTGCTTGCTATCGTGACTGAATGCTATGTCATATTTTTTGTTTCTGTGATGTTTCAACTTTTTATTCTCTAGAATTGAGCAAATAGAGCACTTCCGATTCTTTGATTCAGTAATGGAGCATTTTCATATTTTATTTATATACTGAACATATATACATGTACACTTATCAAGCTAGTGTGCTGCCGTCACAGATCACAAGAGATAGCAAATGGTATGTTTTGTTTCAGCATTACCTATGTTCTAACATATCCTTCATGCAAATGTAACCACTTTGGTTTTCATCCCAATTCATTGCCTCACTGGGATTCCAACTGTTTTCAGTCTAGTAGATTGTAGTCGTCAAGGTATGCCAATTTCAGATCTGTAAACTTAATTTGTTGTTTATCAGAACTAAACCTTTCTAAAGAAAAGAAGATATATTTTTTGTAAACTGTATTTCTATCATGTACATTCTCAAATAACAACAAATACAGTAGCATAAATAGATCTAAAAAAAAAAGAATTCAGGCTTAGCCCTGCCAGTTCTCTGCATGTAGAATTCCTCTGGACATTGATGGGAATTTTTGGCAGAAGGAGAGCTTTGAATGCTAGTTAGAGATGTCTATGGGAGAAAAATGTGTGGATATGCATCTACCAAAAACAACAAAAAGGGATGAAACTGAAAAGGCTGCCTTGGCTCTGTAATGACCTGTGTTCTCGCTAGTACTTGATTTATCTGTGCGTAGAGCAATGATACTTGTGTTGCTGCTGTGTATGGTCTGTTACTGTTCCCACCCCTGACTATTTGCAGCTGAACTGTGAAACTTTGCTCTGGGCTGAAATTCAGCATAGATGACCCTGGGTTGCAAAGTCTGTGTTGCAATCCCATCCTCGGGGCTGCTCCTTGAACAGGAGTGGGCTTCACACAGTTGCCTTGCAGCAAAGCTGCAATGCGATCCCCAGCTGGTAGCGTTCACCGTAACCTCAGCTGATGGTGTGTGCAGGATAAGCTCCGCAGTCCTGCTGCATCCTTGGCAGTGGTGCAAAGTGGCTGTAACTGCAGTTTTTAAGCACTGTATCTGCAGACAACTGTACAGTATGAAGAGCCTCAAAGGAACCCGTATAGCTGGAGCAGAAAAACCTGGGTTTTAAAAGCTCCTCAGTATTAGCTTCCATTGGTAAACCACAGTGTATTATGAGCTCTCTAATATCTCTTCAAACTGTGAAGGGATTATAGAGCACATTGTCATCATTATAATCAAAGTAACTAAACAATTAACACCCTCCCAAAGTACATAGTTGGTAGAATTGTTGAAAAGCCCTCCCAAGTTTTTATCCTAATAACAAAATATAATTAAACAAAAAAAATTGATTTTAATAAAACTTAAAAATGGTAGTCTTTGCTTTAGAAAAATTACACTAATGAAATGATCTTCGAGCAAGTCTTTCAGTAAGTGCCCTAAAGAACTACCCTGAAAAATGGGATGCAAGAAGAGAGTGGTCCCACCCCCATGATTTAATCACAGTTCTCTCTTTTCTTCAAGCCCCAGTCCTAGAAATCGTGTGGTCAGGCAGAGATCTTCCAACAACAAGAAGAGACTTTTTAGTTGTGATAGACATGTGTACTCCAAATCCCACTGAAATCAGTTCTGCAGTGGCTTCAGCCAAGGTTTCCAAGCTGACCGAAAATTACTGTCTGGCCAGAGCAAAGAGGTGATGTGCATTTTCGAGACCCCACATGGTCAAGAGAACTGAGTCTCTGAGGACCCTCCCTCTCTTACCTTTTGCGCAAATGGAGGGCAGTGTGTTACTGCAGCCCCGTTCATGAAATTGTACTCTCCACCTTGCCTGTCATTGCAAACAGTGGGCAGTTGCACGATTCATCTTTTTCATGAGATTTCATATTCATCAGTCTAGTTGAGTTCCATGGGGCAGAAGGAGCCTGAACCTTGAACAGATACAAGTCTTGGTTTGACTTGAAAAAAGCCAAGAAAAATCTCACTTCAGGATAACACTTCATGTTTAATATGCATTTTTGTGCCTTTTTTTGCCAATTCCCTTCCTCCGGTCCCAGCACCACTTCTTACACACAGACACACACACACATAACCATGTGTTAAGAACAGTGTTTGCCTTGACCTCCCATTTTCTGGCTCTTGTCCCTGTATGCTAGCTGCAGTGTGTGATTTTAACCATAGATGGCTTTAAGACTAAAAATCGTGATTTCAACCAAATTGCACCAGAGTAATGTATTTCATAGCTAATTAACTCCTTTCTAACTCAACACTACTATAAATAACATTTACACATCATTTGTTTGTAAAAGGCATTAAAAAAAAAAGAAAACTGGAACTATCTTGTGTTATAGCCCAAAGGGGCAATAAACAGTAGAAATATTATGGTGGTTTAACTCTAAGTTGGTTTCATCCCATTGTAAAGATAAACTAAAACCCAGTCTTTTTTGCTTAAGGCACATCTATGTATTTTTGGTATTCTTCAGCAGTGAAAAAAAAAAAAGAATAGTAAAATGGAATGATGAAGAGATGCTTTATGAAAATATTGATGAATGAATATTCATTTATTAAAAAGGATTTAAAGATAAATTGCTTATTTTTTTTCTGGAGATGGAGTGAGTGTGATGACTGTGTGTTTGGCTAAATTTTAATGTTTAATTACGTGTCAAATATCCTGTAATGGTTAGCCTTAGACTATTTTAAAGAAAAAAAACCAAACATGAAAGCATTTTCTTATTGACACACAAGTAGCAAAAGGGATTCTTAAGCATTAAACTACTATATTTCCTAGTGTTTTCTATGGTAGATTAAGGAAGAGGGAAAAACTACGTCCGCTGACTTAGCATGATTCTTAATGGCAAACCAGCCTCTCTTCAAGCTGGGGCATTGCCAGTTAAGAGCAGAAAGTTTGTCCTGTGCTTTATATGAAAACTCTGCCTGCCCAGGAGGCAGAAAAGCTTTTGATACCAAAACAAGACGGTGTCCTGTTTATTTGTTTCATTAATCAAGTCATAAATATTTCAAAACCAAACCAAAAAAACTTTCTCCAGCTATGCTAATTGTATCAGGAATGCTAATTGTGTTCATTACACTTTTTATTGCTTAGTAAGTTATTTTAGAGGAGTCAGGATACGGACTGATTCCAAGAGGGGTTTTAAAAGTCATTTTGACAGCAGTCCACCAACCCCTTCCCCCAAAACCAAAAAAATACCCTGAAGATTTGGAAAGCAGACTGTCCTTAAACCCAGTTGCCACGCTTTGCATTGCAACAAGCTGTCACACGCTTGCTTAAATCATTAGTAGCTAATGAGATGTGTCACAACTTTTAGGAGTAGATAGAATATTCAGTACCGTAGATGTGATTGCAAGGTCTCTGAAGTCTACAGAAAGGCTCCCTGTGATTTCAGCATGTTTCTGCTCACTTTCAGCAACGCTTCCCAGATTGTAACATCTATTATCTATTTATTCCATTCCAGTCCCTACTGTACAGTAGGAAAAATTAATGATGTACCAAGCTTAGTTTTGTGATTGGGAAGATCTGGTAAGAGATGTATTTCTTTGGGTATTTTGGAGCTGATGTATGGATAAACATTATCAATTAATTGCTTAAGTACTACTCATTATATTAAAGGAGTTCAGCTTCTCATAGAAATTGGCTTTTTTCCCCAAATAAATATGGTCCTATTAGTATGAAGATTATTTCCATAGATGTTGGTTTTATAGTCATGACTGTCACAAAAGCAAATGCTACCTGCTAATAGAAGAAGTACGGCAGACAGCTGAAAACTAAACTAAAAGCAGTGGGAATCCTAAGGCTTCTCTGAACTGTTTTTGAACAAAGACTCTCTCCTAAGTGCCTTCAAACTCTTCCAAATACAGGGTCTGAGCTTTTCTAAAATTATTTCAGATTCTGGTTGTTTAGTTTGTGGTTCTTATAGCTTGTGAGAGCCTGACTTGTGGACTCCAGCATACACCTTCTGAAAAATCAAACCCTTTTGCAGCTTACCCAACATACAGCATCACTTGTTGTACTTGAAAACTAAAGCCATGTGGATGGGATACAAAACGAAAAACTACTGCCCCTAAAATCAGCCAGAGTTTAAATTTTTGCCTAATTAACTGAACCGTAGGTAATGCTTAGAAAGCACAGTATTTGCTTGGACAACATCCCTTACCTTTGCAATATGCTATGCAGTATGCCTTTGTCCCAGCATTGCAGCCTAATTTAGATTAGTAGGTTTTGTTCTCCCCTGGAAACAAGGGGAAACCTAGAAAGTCACTGCTCAGGCCAACTTTGTCTCTGCACTGGCATGCTTCCAGTGAGGTGCAGGGAGAGCACCTCGCTGGGTTTTCCCTAGACAGAGCTCCTCAAAGCTACTCGTGTCCCTGCTCTGAATCCCTGCTTGGAGGCACCGATCTCTCTCCTTTGACTCCAGAGGGAGCCTTAGGCTAAACTCTGAATTATCCCCCAGCTTACCACCAGCAGTTGGCTTCTTTCAGATGTTATTGCTCCTGCTGCAAAAACCTGGAGATAAAGTAGCTATTATCCTAGCTGGCAGCAGGCACACTGGCAAACGGCGTGTGTACTCGGGGCTATGATACATCATGGTAATCTTTAGGTTATTTGTTCTAATATTGTATTTAAATATATTTCAGTTTACATTCTAGCCTTCAAGAGCTAGCACACTTGTTTCCAGGTGCTGATGCTTTTTATATGTATATACTTGGGAGTCTGGGAC